AAAAAAAAAAAAAAAAAAAAAAAAAAAACCTAACAATAATTCTACAGTGCCATTCAACTGGGCCGGTCCTGGATAGGGTGGCTAGACTCATTGTTACCTAGGGCCCATCATTATATTATTGTAAAAAATATATAATTATATAATATAATATTGAAGACAATATTATTTATTAACTCTCAATTTTTAACTCTTTTATATTTTCTTCACTATATAAATTTGACGACAAAATTAATTAGTAGTTATAATAATGAAATTACAATTTTCTTACATGTTTTTTCTTTTAGACTTTTATAATAATAACATCAGAAATAATACGGCCTTAAAAATGATTATGACTTTGATTAAGGCTCACAAATTTACAAACTTTGCTTTTATTCTCTGCATCTTTTTTCTTTTTCTATCTAGTTTCATTTTATTTTTTTGCGAAATTGCTTAACTTAAAAAAATAATTTATTGAGCGCATTTTAGCACCGACCCCCTTCACACACACACAGAATCTCTCACAGAACAAAAGCCCAGTCCACATCCAAATGTACCTCAGAAAGCCCAAAACAATACACACAAACACGCACAAAAGTGTGCCCTTTTCCCACTTTATCCCCTTCAAATGGCACACAACGCCGGCCGCAGGCCCTCCGCCGCCGTGAACCGCCACCATCCGCCACTGCCCATCCACCCCCTCCCAGGTCCCGCCTTGGCCCCACCCACAACCGTCCAGGACATATCCGCCCGCTTCTCGAAGCTCCGGGCGAATCACAAGAAGCTCGCTCCTCGCTCCTCCGAGCCTGGTCCGCATCCTCAACCCGAACCAAATTTTCCGACCTGCCGCAAAGATCCCACCTTTTCTCCAGCTCCGGACACCTCCTGCACCACCACCCTGACAAAATCGAGCAGCCAGAAGGAAAGAGCCAGCAGCTTCAGCACGGCCATGGCCGCGAAAATCGACGTGAATGAAAAAATGGGTTCAAGAAAATTGTGTCCCGACAAGGGCCCAAAGAAAGATTTGACCTTTATCCCGTCGGAGTTGGTTTTGAGAAGCTTGGAGAAAATCGAAGAGGTGAAGAGGGTTGAAGAAGGGGTTAATGAGAGGTGGAGGAGAAGCTCTGTGTCTTGTATACCGCCGGTTGTCAATGGAGGGAGAAGAAGGTCATTTTGCAGCTCGCAGGCTGAGCTGGCGGGTTTCTTGTCCGGCAGCGGCGTGAGGGTTGTGGCGACGGATATGCCGCCGTTGATGCAGATTCACGCCGTGGATTGTGCGAGGAAGGCTCGTGATAGCCTGGAGAAGTTCACCGCCAAGACTCTTGCTTTTACACTCAAAAAGGTAGAAAATTGGATCTTGGGATAGTTCATATTTGTTCCTGTTATTTGTTTTGATGGTGCATTTTCACTAGAAAAACATTGTTGAGATTGAGTTGGTTATTGAGTGTGTTTTTATGTGTCTTCAACTATGGCCTTTGCTTTCACAGTCTGATGGGGGAACTAAAATGGTTGTTTGAGATTAACAGATGATGAGTTTTGATACTCTGTATGTAAGGTGCATTGTTGTTAGTTTGGTGTGTTTCTAATCTTGATCAGGCTCTTAATTTGACACTCAAAATGCGGGTTATATCGTGGTAAAACTCGGTTTTTTTTTTTTTTTCTTTAAATAAATAGATGAGTGGATGTAATGGGAAGATTCAATCATATTCAGTTAGTTTAAATGGTCCGATCGACACACGCTCACACACACCCGTACGAGTGTGTCTGATCGCAAGTTTAAAAACCCGTGAGCACAATGATGAAATTCACCATTCTGAAGTTTGTGTGTTGAGTGTGTGTTTAACAATTGAATTTATGAGTTCTTGCTTTCACACTTAAAGGTGGTGATTAAAATCATGGCACTGATCATTTTTGTGCTATTCATTGATCAGTTGCTTTGGTAATTTGTCTTGTCCTCTCTGTGTTCAAGTTATTTAATTACACAAGTCCTTTTGGATATTGATTAAATTGTTCCTTTCTAGCTTGGTAAGGTAATCAAATAATGATGATCTCAGTTCTATTATATTAGGTAGTGAAAATTTTGGAAACTTCTTTTCCATTTTCATGTAGGGATTATTCTAAGTTTTAGCTATCGAGTTCCTTCTACATCCCACGGGGTTTAAAACTCTCGTCGGGCAATCGAACTTGCTCTTCTTTTTTAAAACTCTCGTCGGGCAATCTATGAGTGTCTCTTGCTTCTTCTTCTTTTTTTTTTTTTATTTTTGTGCAGGAATTTGATGGGGGCTATGGACCAGCTTGGCACTGCATAGTGGGGACAAGTTTTGGTTCATTTGTGACACATTCAATGGGTGGTTTCATGTACTTTTCTATGGATCACAAGCTTTACATCCTTCTATTCAAAACCAATGTACAGAGGGCAGAAAAGTAACTTCACAAAGCCTGAATTTCTCAGGCGACTCGAGGATTTATAGCTGATTATTGCAGCGCAGCAGCGAAGAAGCGGTAATATTGTAGTAGCTTTTGAGTTTGACACTGATTTTTAGGGGGGAAAAATGTATTTTTGAAAAGATAATGTTGCCCTCTTTTGTTTGTACATCTTTTGGTGCTGCTAAGGTAAAAAAAAAATATAACATTGTGGAGAGTATCATTTGCATATGACTCAAATTGGCAAAGGCCCCCTTTTTTTGTTGTGTTCTTGGGAGAATTTGAGGGTTTGTGTAGGTGAATGTTGGATCAAAATCACATGATGTGTAATTGTCTTTCTATGGTTATTCTAGTTTTGTCCCCCCTTTTTGTAATGGTTTCATTGAACTATATATAGTTGGATACATGAGAGTCCTTAGAGCATCCACAATGCTTTGGTTTCAATCACAAAATTTTGTATGGCACCTAAGAAATAGACATAGTCTAAAAAAATGTATTATCTAATGCAAAGTAGATTGGGTCTTGCTGATGTGACCGTAAAAAAAAAAAAAAGACGGGTCTATCTTTAAGTCTATTTTAGACCCAAGTAGAGATCTAATCTCTTTGCATTGGAGTTAATTTTATCAATTTTACATAGTTTTATCCATACCATCAAATACTTGAGTTTATTTACATGTCACATAAGCAAGACTAGACCCAATACATTGTTGATGCTCTATACCAAATATTTGATCACTTTTTTTAACTCAAAATCTAATTTAAATCTAACTTAACTCAACTCTCTCTAATATTATTAATATAGTTAAATAATATTAATTAATCATCTTCACGCATTACACAATTTTAATACACTCACATAACTTTTTTTATCCATCACTCCCTGTCACATTTTTTATATTTTTAAATCAAATGAACTTTAATTATTTTACTTTAAATATTTTCTATTCCTCTCGTTTTTTTCCCCCCTTTCGCATTTTCTTATAGTAATATTTTTTATTTATGATCTATCACACTATTGTTGTGAATATAAGCCTACAATTTATTATCAAAGTTGTTTATTATCAAGAAGTTTTTTCAATACAATGCCCGAAAGATAGGTAAATTATTAACTCAGGGTCTGAAAAAAAAAATTCTCAATTTGGGACCTGAATGTTATAAAACTATCAAATTAAGTCCTACAATTAACAACACTCATAAAACCATTAAACTGAGAGTTAATTTTAAGTGTTAAAACACCAAATATGTTTTTTTTTTAATATTATGCAAATGTTTACTTATTATTTTATGTGAGTAAGCAACGATCTTTTTTTTTCTTCAAATTTAGTGTTTTAAAACTTAAAATTAACTTCCAATTTAATGGTTTATGAGTGTTGTTAATTGTAGGACTTAATTTGATAGTTTTATAACATTCAAGTTCCGAATTGAGAAAAATAATTTTTCAGACCCCGAATTTATAGTTTACCTATCTTTCAGGTCTTGTATTGAAAAAACTCGTTGTTAGATACGTGTAATGATTAGGCAACCGTACTTTTTTTCGATTAAGATTGACAACTGAATTTTTTTGATAGATTGTCATACTTTCAAACTGAAATTATAATCTACAAAAATAAAATAAACAATACTATAATAATTCATAATATAAGTATGTATTTTTATTAAACCATTTAACTTAGTGTCTCAATTTTATTTTATATTATATCTACCCATATTTAAGTAGACTTGCAAGTTTAAAATGATGGCTCGAACAATTTTTAAGTAGACTTCCATACCTAAAAAGCCTATTTCAAAGCCATTACTTTCTAAAATTGAGTAAAATAAAAAAATATATCAAATCACATAGTACAAGATTTCTTTCAATCAACTTTATTAACTATGACCAAGCCCTGTCAAATCTTCAATATTCTCTAAATCTCTATTTTTACACTTTCACAAAATACAAAGAAAATCTCATAATTAATTTTATTTAAAAAATAATAAAAATAGTTATGATTTAAACGTGCATTGGAGTTTCAAAAAAATGTGAAGAGATTATAATATGATTTATGAGTTTTTTCAATACAAGACCTGAGAGATATGTAAATTATCAAATCGGGGCTAAAAGATTTTTTTTCTCAATTCAGGAAATAAATATTATATAATTATCAAATTAAGTCCTAGAATTTACAAAACTCATAACACCGTTAAATTGAGAGTTAATTTAAAGTTTTAAAACACCAAGTATGTTACAAAATACAAAGTGAAAAAAAAAATGAAGAAAATCAAGGAAAATACGAGATTGTTGGAGAAAATTAAGGAAGTATGAAGCTCTTGTTATCGTCTATTTCTATTTTTAAAATATTATACAAATTTTTATTTATTATTTTATGTGAGTAAGCACCTATTTTTTCTTTTCTTTTTTTTTTTTAACTCACAATTTAATGGCGTTGAGTTTTGTTAATTTTATGACTTAATTTGATAATTTTATAACATTTAAGTCCCGAATTGAGGAAAAAAAAAAATCTTTCAGTCTCCGATTTGATAGTTTACTCATCTCTCGAGTCTTATATTGAATAAAACTCCTTATTTACTTTTTAAATACACATATACTAAAATTGACATACTTTTATTAAAAAATATCATACTTTAAAAAATAACATAAATAAACATATTAATTCAATAATATAAGTACATATTTTAATTAATAACATATAACAAGTTGATCGGCCTAACGATTAAGTCTCTCTAACAATAATATTTTGTATAAAATTAAAAATGTGATACTGGAAAAAAAATATAAATAAAAACTATATTATTTTTATTTAATAATTGCTTGTGTTAGTTTTAACTTTAAAGTCTCAATCAATTGGATTTGGACCACCTGATCTCAGCAAATCAAAACCAAACAAAAAGTATAGAAATAAATACATCGATATTTATGGGCCATGAAAAAATGGATTAAGATTATTATATTATTAAAATGTGGGGAAAATCTTGATGTGATTTATGCACATAACAAAAATTAAAGTAAATAAAAATAAAAATAAAAACAAGATTGTGGTAGATATTATGCTTTATAATGATTTGATCATTCAGTTGGCTATTATCAACTTTCTCTGGAGTTGTTGGGATCCTATTGCCAGAGTTGGTAGTATATGAGATAAATAGTCTGTGTAATATTTTATTTTATTTAAGAAAGAAAAAATTTCAATTAAATATGTCCTATTGTTTATCAATTAATTTAATAAAATGATGTGTTCTCACTAGGTATGATATATATATTTAGACAAATTTAACAGTTGGACTACTTTCATACTAAAATATTATTACAAAAAATATTAAAAAATATGATATTTCATAACAATAGTATGTATTTTTGTAACAAAAGCATGCCACGAGTGAGCCCGCGTAACTGTACAATTTTGCTATTGAGCCATCTGATAAATCGACTTATGAAGTCATTCACACTTATTCACCAATAGTGTATTGACATGTACCATACAATCAATACAATTTGGACGGGTGTCAATACATTAAGTGGTTGATGACTCCATAAGAAAACTATCCGATGACTGCATAGATTTTTCGCTTAATGTAAGGCTGCCTCACAAAAAAATTATATGAGCGGTTATTTTTTGTTAAATTGTAAGGCTGCCTCAAAAAAAAAAAAAAAAAAATGTATGAGCGCTAATTGTTAAACGTGTAGTTCCGTTTTACTTTCTTAAATAAAAATATATACTTAAGCTATGAAGTGTCATAACTTTTGCTTATAATATTTTTTTTTTTACCGTATGAAGTTTCAATTTAAAAATATAATTATGTATTAAAAAATATGATTGTATAACCGTTAAGTCTGACTAACACTAACATTATTTAAAGAAATAAAACTAAGAGTAGTAGGGTATATATAAAATTATGAAATTGATATTCATAGTCCAAATTCAAACCTTTTGACTTCTAACTCATAAATAACATATGGTTGAGAATGAAACAGCCCATTTGTACCAATTTTGCCAACGATTCTGTGAAAGCAACAAACATGTAACAAGGATATTGAAGGGAAAATTATAATTTGCGTATCAATTTTTATTTTTTTTTAGGAAAATTACACTTAGTCCCCCTAATTATAGAGATTTTTCTTTATTTTACCTACTTTAACTTTTTTTCGTGACATTTTACTCGTATAATATGCAAAAAAATTGCACTTAGTTAATTTTCGATCGTTGTCGGATTGGTGAATATTTGGAATTTCTCCATATGTACACATGTCTCTTGTGGCTAAAAATTATCGAAATTTCATTTCAACTTTATTAGCGTAATCCCATATTGATTTGTTTTGGTGTTAATCCATATATGACACGTATTTAAATAATTTTTTTAATTTAAATAAAATCAATGATTTCATCTCTTGCGGTTAAAAATTACTGAAAGTACATTTTAATTTTATTACCATGATTTCGCACAAGATTTTATGGTTTTGGAATTATTCACTATACACCACATATTCCATAAATCCATGGATTTAATTTTTATTTTTTTTTTTAATTTAAATACAATAAACAATTTCGGCTCTAATTAGCCACTAAGAATTAAAGAAAGTTCGTTTAATTTTATTTCGGGAATCTGCATATTACAAGATCTTCTCATGATTTTTCATAATTATTCCATATATTCTACATATTCCATAAATCTTCGTATTTAAATTATTTTTTTTATTTAAACACACTCAATGATTTTTGTTTCTAAGTCCCATATTTTTTTAATTAAAAGCATAGAGAAAATTTGGAATAATTTTTTTTTTTTTAATGAAAGCTTGATGACTTTGTTTATAGTACCACATAAAAAATCTATATAAATTAAATTGAAGTATTTCCTATGCAATTGAACTGCATTAAAAAAATATATTTGTTCTCATGTATTTGTTTACTCTTATTCAGGATCTATACGAACATGACTTGAAAGCATGTAGGAGGAGAAAGAGCAAGTTACTGTCTATTTGAAAGCACGATGAATGACTAAGTTATTGAT